AAAATTAGCGATGATTTGCGGTATTGAGAGCACAAGGTAGGTGTAAAGAAACAACCAGTCATGCAGTTAATCTAATTACTTCAAGTCTGGTGCAAAAACACATGATCGCACCGGCCCCCCTGGTGCGTTCCAGCCTGGGTTGCATTTGCATAAATATGCAAAAACGCATAATTGGAAAATTGCTTTTCGTGGAACTGATAGAACACCGTTTGATGAGAAGACTGTGATACGTTCAGCTTTTTGCCTTGCAAGCACGATGAAGAAAGCACAGCAGTAAATGAGGGCTAACACCAGGTTAATCATTACATCTTTTAACACACTTTAAATATTTAGTAACTGTATATAAAAATCTTATTATATATTCGTCTCTTTTACCCCGTTTTAATCGTATCTTTGGAGATGCACCTACATTTGCAGATGTTGCGCTTTTGTCATTTTCGCTTTTCAATCCTCTTTTAACTCCTTAATAAAAAAAAACCTTTATTTCGATTTTCTTTTTTCCCATTTCCCTTCAACCTAGTTACCATTTTCATTACATTTCGGTACATTTTCAACCCCTCCAAAAAACTATCACATCCCCTTTTGGGGCGGTTTTTACTTCATAAACCTCCCTACCATTCTTTTGGGCTCAGCTTCTTCGTTGGCTTCACTCTCCTCGACCAACATCTTCTCCGGCTCGCCAACTACGACTCCCGCCGTCGTAATCTTCGGATACTACTGGGACTCGGGCAGCTTCGTCTCGAAGCCACAACTATTCCCTTGCTGATTCCCCTGCTAAGCAGGCCATCCCGTACGCCAGGGCCCAACCGCTACTCTTTGTGTATTATTGTTATTATCTGCGTCGTGATAAGTAAGACTCTTATCATTTCTCTGACTGGCTCTCAAGTCTACGCACCATGCCACACAGCGATCCACACACGTAAACAACCCTTCTCATAAAAATTTTTGCTACGGCTACCACGGAACGGTCGGCGCTGCGTTGATCACGGAATCGCAGAATTGCATCTGATCAAAGCAATTTGGAATTGCAGCTGACTAGTGAAGTAAAACAAAATGCCAATTTTTCTTCTAAAAAAGCACCGCATATTTCACCGGTCACAAGAAGTTCTAGGGCCTGACTTGGATGATCTAATGGATGAGGGAACGACAGATAGTGAGGGGCGGTTCCTGTTGAAAGGACATGAAACCGAACTTACAATGATCGATCCGAAACTCAATGTATACCACGACTGCAACGATGAAGCTATTGTAAGTCAATCAAAAGTTTTAATTTCTAGCAAAGATTCCCATACAGCGTTATTGTGCTCTGAAAATTTATTTTGCTCCAAAAATAACATGATACTGTCGCGTCCTTCGCCGGTACACGTTGAGTCCAGATTTTATTAG